ATAATTTTCTTTCTCTACTAAGCTGGAGAAACACCCCAATGGAGGGGCTGATCTGAGCACCTTGCCAGCTCAGCGTATGTTTGGGTGACATATCTGAACCCACCTTCAAGGAGCTCTCACCATTGGTGAAAGGCGAGACAGTCAGAGTAATACCACTTCCCCGTGACAAGAGCCAGACATGGTTCAAAGCAGAAATAGAAGAACTAGCAGATGTGTGATCCTACATGTATAGAGTGTAGGCAAAAGATAGGAGTATCCTCTGCAGAAACAGAGGATACTCCCAGAGACAGTGAAAAAAATTGGGTTTTTCTCTTTCTTTTTCTTGCTTAGTCAATGAACACTTTGTCTTTTGAAACAGTTGACTTTGTTTGTTCAAAATGTTCTGCTTTTAGTGCTCTTTGGCTGATGTTGTTGGGCTTTCACTATTAAGTACCCAATGTGCAATCAATGAAGTTTTTTTAATTTTCATTTCATTTTCTTAAAAAAGAAAGAAGGAAAGGTGTCATGGTAGGCCTGTGGTTGTAAGCCACATGACCTAAAAAACAGGTGCTTTTGTAGTAGCTTTGAGGCAGCCAATAAAGATGAGTTTGTCCTTATTACGCGTTTGCTGCTCTCGCTACACTAATCATAAAATTGTGCAGAGTCTTTGAGAGCTTTGATGTTGTTGAGAATTTAGTGACAGCTAGTGCCCTCCATGAAAAGTCAGTCTCCAGAAAAAATGTATAATTTTCTTCCTGGTAGACCTTATTTATTTATTCATTTATTTATTTTTATTTATTTATTTAGTCACTCACAAAACCTTACACAACATGAACAAAAGGTGTTAATTAAATTATAAAATTAATGTGACAAGGAAGCCTAACAAAGCTTGAAGCTTATATTAATAGGCTTCCTTCAACTATCTAGTGAACTAAGTTCATGGCTGAGTGCAGAGTGAGCAAGATCAGAAAATTAAACGACAGATTGGCTATCAGTGAGATAATTCTTTAAATTTTTTTTAAAAAAAGATATAGAAGGAGAGCTAATTAGTGAAACAGGCAACGAATTCCAGATTTTAGGTCCTCAGTAAAGGATACTGAATTGCTTTATATTTGTTCTACAAAAATGAGGTCTATACTGAGAGGCTAGTAGAGTTTCAAATTGATGGACTTGATTACTACGTAAGAACAAGTCATGAAAGCTATTAGGCAAAAGATTATGGTGATAAGAATACATAAAGGTAGCGACAGAAAATGAATTAATACTAAATATGTCAAGGACTTTAAGCTGGCTAAATAAAGGGGCGGTATTTGCTAGATAGTGAGCTTTTGTTTTGAGTCGCACTAGACGCTTTTGCAAAAGGTAAATACAATTTAGGTTGGAACAGTAGGTGGAGGACCAGGCGACATTACAGTATGTTAAGAAAGGATATACAAGGGAGTAATACAAGGTCATCAAAGTTTGGGATGATAGGTAAAAGCGGGCTTTTGCAATAATTCCTACACTTTTCGAAATTTTTTTTGAGACGAAATCAATATGTGGTTTCCAAGAGAGATGCTGATCAATGAGAACACCTAAAAATTTTGTCTCCGTGACTTGCTTGACCACTGTATTTTCCAGAGTAAGAGGGACATTAACATTGACTTTCTTTTGCCTTGGATGAAAAATCATAAAATTTGTTTTAGTCAGAGTTAGAGATAACTTATTCACTTTAAGCCAAATAATTATTTTTGCAAGTTCATTGTTAACAATAGAGACGAGGTGGTTGGCATCTTTATGGGAACAAAAGATACTTGTGTCATCAGCAAACAGTAAAGATTGAGTGAGACTAGAGACATTAGGAAGATCATTAATGTAAATAATAAACAAAAGAGGTCCAAGAATTGAGCCCTGTGGGACGCCACATAAAGATTGATGGGACCCAAACTGGACAAATTGAGTCCGATCGTCAGGATAGCTTTTGATCCACGCCAAAGCAGTATCCCGAATACCATAGTGTTGCAGTTTTTGACACAATATTTCATGATTAATAGTATCAAACGCCTTAGAAAGATCTAAGAAGATGCCTAAAGTTGTTTCATTTCTGTCGATAGCTGAAGATATGTTGTTGATCAAGTCAATTAACGCTAATGCAGTCGAATGATTATTACGGAATCCAGATTCTTTCGAGTATAAAATATTATGCAAATTTAAAATATTAATCAGTCGGTTGTACATGACTTTTTCAAAGAGTTCTTTGTTGCATGTGACCAGCTGGATATTTTGCACAAATTCCAAATACTTCTTGCACACAATCAACATCCACCAAGATGTTTCATTAGGCTGGTACAAGATTTTGAGTGATAAATCATCTTACCATAACTTCAGCTAGTAGTGGATGTTACTTTTCTTTGCTAATGCATTTTCATGCACACCATAAGAAAAGACAACATTTAAACAAGGAACAATATTTAACCACTAGTGCATTACAGGGAAAATACATATGAATGAAGCTTACCAGCTAATTCAAGCCTTTGTTTGCTTCTTTTAATCCCTGGTTTTCTTTATGCCTGTACGAAAAATGAAAATAAAAAGAAAATATAACTCAAGAATATTTGTTTCTTTTTTTCATTAACATTCTAAAATTCATGGACAAGAGACGTGTTATTACATATTGTATCTATACAGTTACAGAGAGCGTCTACAGTAGTATACAAATGAACAAAGATAACGTCACGATATACAATGACAAGATCTATGTGAGTTTGTGCTATCAGGACAAAGCAGCAATTGACAGAAGTCTGTATTTAATTCTGAACTTCAGTAGTATATTAAGAAGTATAAGTAGCCTATGTGTCTAGACTTTGTCATTGAAGTTTGCTTTGTTTTGTGAATTGTATGTTTCCCCCTCCAATCTCAACAACTTTATTCTTAGTGAATTGCACAAATCTCCTTTCTGATGGATTCTAATTTTTTTTCCAATTTGTTAGAGTTTTTTGAAGCTTTTAGTACAGGAAGTTGAGCACATGCACTTTCTATTACATAAAGCTGCATCCACTAAAAACTCCCTGATACATCTTTATCGAGAAAACATTGAAGCTAATGGGAGTTTCAAGAAAAAAATCGAGGGCAAGCTGAGAAAAATGCCCAGAAATTGTCAGAACAAATTTATTCAGTTTTCATCTCTTTGTCATGTCATGTGGTGATCTCAGTGCTTGCACAAGTTTTGGGCATGCTGTACATACTCTTGTTGACTTCCATAGGCTATGTTAACAAATGACAAAATATCAAAATCTACTCATTAGAATCTGACAAAATTTGGCAGAATTCCTGTTGATATATTACATGAAAAATTAAAGTTGAACAAAGGAGGTTGTCACACTTAGTAGAGTAATTGCTTTTTTCTCACCACAGAGACAAATTTTTGCCAAAAAAAGCTCAGAATAATAAAGAGAAGGAGAGTGGATTCTATCTAACTCACCTAATGAAAAATCTACATTTAAGCATAATTCAGCTGTAAATGTGGTGCTCTGGCAGCGCATTATTCTTCATAAAACAGACCAAACCAAGCAGTGTAGATTTTTGTCGTACAGTACTGTATGAGGACATCATTTTGTGTAAGGTCTTCAGCATGCAGAGTTGCTACATTATTTAATAATAATTGTTTGATATCAACCTGAAACTACGTAATAGATCAAAGTCCTTTTTATTTGCCTCTTTCACACTGCCCATAATACACCTTGTTTACTCTTGTTTATCTGATACATAGTGACTCAAGGATCACATGTCTTGAAGGTATATGGGAGCTGGCTGTACAGCATGACAGTTCACAATAGTAACTTTAAGAAAAGGCAATGTATACTGCCCCCACTACTAAGAACCTGGATTTTTCCAAGTTAGCCTAAACAGGTTCTTAATGGCAAGGCTGCAAATAACTAACGGGCAGTCGCCGGTCACGTTGTCCGGTCAAACATGCTTTTGCTCGGACACTACCTGTTTTTGGCCGGTCAAATTTTAACAGTCGGAACTCTTGCGATAGTGAACCCAGATTGCACAGTAATCCTTTTACAACTAAAAAACAACTGAATCCAAGTCGGTCTGGCAATAAAAATTACAAGTTAATAATTTTACTACTCTTTACTGCAGAAGCAGCCTCGCATTGAGTATGTGGAACGGTTACGCAAGATACAACCGCAATTGTCGGTTTTACTTTACATCTGGCAAAATCACTTATAATTAAATATTACACTTTGGCAATCGCCACATCAGTTCTACAACTGGACTTTAAGTAAAATACGCAGAATGTGTGAAAGCTGAAGGGTTCAATCGATCTCTTAATTAAGGTAACTGAAATGTAAGCTTAAATATAAACAAGAAACACTTAACTTTAACTCGTATCGTCTTAGGGTTTCGAAATTGGGTAACAATTGGGTGCAACTGTTGCGCTCGCTGACTTTCTTCCATTTAGAATCCCTTAAAGACAACCTTATTCTTCTACTTTTTGTGTTATACACTCCATTTTTGAGTTAATCACCAGAACGCTTAGTAACCAAGCACGTTTTGCTGGGTGTGCCGGAAGTGACATATGGTTTGTTTTTTTTTTAATTTTTTTTTTCGAACACTATGCTTTCTTTAGTTTCAAGCAGAAAGCTATCCCCTAAAAGACAACAACAAAGAAAATAATTGGATATTAATATATAGAAAATAAAACGTGAACCTTCGTACAGGAGTTAACTGTACGCTACCTTTTCACCTAAGAAAACCTTTTAACTAATAGCAAAATGTTTTGGCAAGCCGCATTGCAAGACAAGTAAATGGAAAAAATATTTTACGCCAAATGCCAATGGTACTGCTCGACTGTGGACGTAATTAGTGATTACAACAAATCAAAAACTTGAATAGTTCTATTACGTTGCGGTCAAGCGTTTCATGTTTGGATGTTCATGACAATTCCTAGGGCTTGAAAAACAAATAACGCGGTTTCGCTACTCAAGTTCATCAAGCTCTGCAATTAACACTTTCCCTCCTTCGTCTTTGTCTTCTTATTCGAAATCTTCCTCACTGTCAGTGCCGGAACTTTCTTCAGTTGAAGAAGCATCGATTAACACCTTCTGCCTATTCTTCGATTCTCTGGCACTGTAATGCCTTTCCCTTTGGTTTAGGCGGGTAGCACCCATTGCCCATAACTGGATGGCAGGAGTGGGATCAAACTCTTCAAGTGGTGGGCCTTCCATTTGGATTCTGATGAGGTTGTTAAGGGTGTTCTCGCTGAGCGATGCCCGGAAATCTGTCTTCACACGGTTCATCAGCAAGAAGAGCCTTTCAACTTTCGCATTAGAGATGGGAATGGAGAGGAGAAGTTCGACCAACAGTGGCACCATGTTCCACCTGTCTTTCCGGCTTGAATCGAAGATTCTTTTCCAAACACGCAGGTAGTGCGTTCTGGAAGGATCCAGGTATCGTGTGGCGTAGGCCACTACGTCATGCCACTGCTCCAGTAAACTGTTAAGAGCGACATCCAAGCCTGCTTTCAACAATGGTTCACGGAAGTGGTCGAATAGGGCTGCCACATAGTTGTCAGCAAACTCCACATCTTCTTCCCCATTTTCGTTCTTCCTCTCCCATCCTTCGCAGTTCAAGATAGTGGCGGCCATCACAACATACTTGTTTTCCGCTGCCTCCATCCTTGTCTGCATTGCTTCCTTGATCTTTCCCAGCAACACGCGCTTTGATACTTTTGTGGACTCCTTAGCATCATTGAAGTTGGGCAGCGCAACGTTCTGATAGAAAAATTTTGTTTCCTCAACTTTGTCCAGAAATCGTTTGACTGTTGGCAGATCCTCAAAATTCTTCCGTTCTAGACATGCAAGCTGCTTTTTTGCCGTCTCGAGGCGCTGAATGGAAGAAACTGTGTCAATATCGTTATCTTGAAAAGCGAGGGACAACACCTTCGCCGGGCTAAGAATTTCAACAAAAAGACAAGCCAATAAAGGAATTCGAGCTTGTTGCCACTTCCTTAGCCAGCCTTTAAATTTTTGGCGATCCGCCAACTTGTAAGACTTGTCTTCTGACATCGTCTGAAGGTGCTGCATGTAAATCCCGTACTTGTCACACACAAGCTGTAGGCATTTAGTTTGTGGGCAATCCAGCGGTTTCCTAAAAGAACAAATGTTTTCAGTCAGACAGTTCAAAAGCTAGGCAGTGACAGCGGTTTTTTTTCTTTTTGAATAACACCATTACTAACTAGGTGTTCCAGTTCACCTGATAATTGAAAGGGAAAGCTCTAGACGATGTGCAACACACCAGACATAGATCACCCACCGTTGACGACCTTTAAGGATGCCGATGACACCCTCTTTCTCTCCGCGGTTCACAGAAGCTCCGTCAGCAGCGAAACCAACCAATTTCTTTTCAAAAGACTCTTCCATGATGTTAATGGCCTGGAAGCTGTCTTTGATGCAACTTACAATGCCCGTTGCACTGCCATGTTTCAAATCTGCCAACCTGGGGGTGTGTCACTAAAGTCAGTGAAATATAGTTTAGCTCACCCAACGTGTACTAGCACGAGAACACAGACCACGCGAAAGAGACGTCTTAGAAATTAGTGGTGTGTGCAAAAATGTCATACACGCTTCTGATAGGTACAATTAAACTATTTAAATTTCTCCTGCTCAGACTGAGAAATCCACTGACTTGTGTGAATAAATAAATTTTGTTCTTCCGTTTATTTAAACAAATTGCGTAGCTTTATACAGCACTTTCATGTGAAAAGAACATACATGCAGATTTCTACATGTGAAATGATTTTTAAGCCCCTATGAGGAATATTGCATTTAAAAACTCTGTATGTTGCACTGTTTTATATTTGTGTAGATTTGTTTGATATTGTTTATCATGACGTCAAAAGTGCAAATTTTCTTGATGTCCTCAAAATAATAATCCAGGCTGTGAACGCTTGGTGGATAGCTGTTGTTCACAATACCTTGAAATGCAGATGAACTTAAGTAATTTTAGTCACTTACTTTTGCTTTTTACACATTGCACAGCCACAGAAATACCAAATAGGAATACTAAAATTAATGACAGTTTAACTTTTGTAAATATATAAAGTGTTTCGAGAATGCATGTGTACCAACCTGAGAAATGCAGTAACAACTTCAATTCTATCTTTTCCAGGGGGATTTTGCTCCAGGTACTGGACGAAAATGGCTTCTTTCTCTGAAACTGAAGCATCCTCAGAGCCGTCCGTCAGAACACTAAAGAAATTGACACCAGATATCTTCTCCTCTAATCTTTAACCGAGTTCGTCTCCAATGTAGTTGATGAAAGTGGTGCCACTCTGTCTATTCCGATATGCTCTCTCAATGTCAGCACCATGCTTTTCCTCCAGCTTTAAAATTTGCGAGTATTTTAAAAGTGGCAGTTCCTCTTTTGCTATGAAATACGCAGTTTCAAATTTTAATTTCGTCTTTCCAAATCGGCTGATTGCATGTTTTTGATACCACATGTGATGAGTTGCTGCCCTGCATCGTTGGAAGCTTTCATAGCCTCAGCCCTTTCAAAAGCACTCTGCCCTTTGTTGCCTTTTAAGTGCAAGTCTAATGCCCTTTTGTGAGGCTCACCCCGTGCATGATCTTCGCCATTACTTACGCGAAGGTTGGTTGATCCAGTGAAAGCCCAGACTGTCGAAAAGTTCTTCATACCTTTTAACTTGCCAGCATGAGTTTCGCACACAGAACAATTTAAATTGACGACGTGATCTCCCTTGTCAGCATTTATTACGAGCCACTCACTTCCTAAGTGTTCAGCCAAGGATGTTGTTTTCCAACGATTTGCTGCTGCTACAGTTAGGGCCCTTGTTTTCTTAGCAGATGGAGTGGATGACACAGCTGTTGAAGGGCGATCTCTTGTTTCTGTCGAGGCTCTTGATGGATTGCAATCGTAGTGTAGCTGCTGTTGTGTATTTACGGGTGTCTCCGTTGTTGGTACAGGTGTTTTTGTTTTCTTGGTAAAATAAAAAGAGAGGCTGGATTGTTGAGACTTTGCTGCCGTGGGAAGGTCAGGGAGCTTTCGCTTACGGCCATGCTGACACTCGTCAAATTTTCCAACACAATAGGCTTCCTCAGAATACCCTGGCGTTTCCTCTGTACAAGGTGTTGAGCATACATTGCAAATGGGCGATTTACAGCCAATGCAACGGTACTTGATACCCTTACGTGCACACTTAACACAATCCATCTTTACTTAGCAATATAAAATCATAATCTCTTCTCTGACTGGTACACAGTTACAGTTAGTTAACACGGTAAAGACAAGACAGGAAGGGATAGATGCCATGGTGTCTGGGAACTTTTCTGCCAAAGCGACAACCATAGGCCTTATCAGTCTACGATCTATCATAATCTAGTCTATCAAGTCTATGATCAGTTTACCACCCAGAATATTACACAGCATGAAATTGCTTACAGCAGTTTTACTTGTGGACCATGGACAAGTAAACCGACTTTTGTCACTTTCCTTGTAGCTGCTTTTCCGTCGACATGATTAATTGTCTACCAGAATTGGTGCTTTTGACTATATTTAACTATTTCACAGATGCCGAGCGAATTGATTGTATCTTAGCTCTGGTTTGTAGACAGTGGTATCATATTGTACACAGTGGCGCATTATGGAAGAAAGTTAACTTTGACTATCAGAGAAGAGTAACACCTGATATCCTGGACAAGTTCGTCTATGCAGGGACCAGACAAGTACTTCTGAGTGAGTGTTGCTTTCTGAAGTGGACAGACATTTGCGCTGTTTTACGCCGCTGCAAGAAAATTGAAGTGCTAATTGCTCCATGGATTGGTTACAAAAAGGAAACTGTCCCAGACATAACTGGGATGTTAAATATCCAGAACATGAGTTTTTTAGACTTGAGCCACTGTAAAGTAACAGACTCGTTGTTCAACCAGATCCCTGATACGTGTCCAGTTCTGGAATTTTTTCTTCTTCAAGATTGTCAAGAGATTACAGAAGATGCTTACATCAACTCCAACTTTAAAACACATGAACATCTAAAGATTTTAAATGTTGCAGGCAACAGAGAAGCTCTTTCACCAAGAAGTGTCATTGAACTTTTAAAATGCAATAAAGGGAGAGTATTTTTAGACATCCGAGGGCATCGACTTACGCAAGCAGAATTTGCAGCAATTACAAGAGCACATCCAGACGCAGTGGAAAGGTTTTTTGAAGATGTTGACGATTATGTCCACATGCTTCCAGTTTAAATTTATTCCCATTTGTACAGGATTTTCAAAAATACAGTTCTATTTATTGCAATTTAGAATAGCACCAGTGAAGCATGGACTTTTCAGATTAAACGATTTTGTTCAGTTCGTGCGTTCAAATTAAAAAGGTACTGTTATTGGCCTATTGATTCGTGTTTACACCCTCTGCGTGACAAGTAACGCAACGGGATCGTGTATTGCATCATCTGGTCGGCCGCTTGAGATACAATCACGTACATTTTGTGGTACATTCAATGCGTCACAGATAAGAATATTTTGTGTATAAATATGTTTCCCTTTATCTAAAACAGACAGGATGATAACAAATTGTTGAGTGAACCTTGCAATTCAGAGGTTAGTAATAACAGAAAATATCTACATGCAGACAAATAAAGACAAACTCTCTTTTCATATATCAGTTATCTTGACTTTTTTTGTTTTCAGTACAACTCAGAGCCCTTTTTTTTAAAGTTACAGTTGCTAATTTTTGTTAGAGTAAAAGAGTGGTCGGATTCTCCAGGTTTTGGGGCTTTTGCTCGATTTTTGCACTTTGCAACAAATGCTACTTGGAGTATTCTTGGTGCAGCAAGATTATTCTTCGTGAGGGTGCTTTCCGATCATTCGATCAATCAAACAATCAATCACTTTATTTAAGAGTAAATTATGGTATCTAGCCAAAGGTAAAACCCTCTACTAACTGGGAACACTTAAATGAAGTAAATAAAATAACGGATGACACGATGATTTGTAGTCGCGACAGGACTTGATGACGGGTGAGGACAAAACATGGACCAGGGGTCCATGGACCCCCTCTTTGGACCGGGTCCATGGACCACTTTTATGGACCGGGTCCATGGACCCCCTGTCATGGACAGGGTCCATGGACAGTTTTTTTTAATAATTAGAAATGAACAAAAACAGAAATAGTGCAAAAATAAGGTTAAAAACCAACAACAACAACAAACAATGTCATGTAATGTTTGATTGTGCTTACATAGTGTAAAGAAAGGGGGGGGGTGGTGGGTACCTCATGCCAAAATGCTGCCTGTTCCAATAAATTGTTTTCTCTGATGGGTAGATTATGCTTCGGAGCAAGACCTTTTGACTGAGCAAATGTGAATTTTTGCTGCTTATTTCATACTGAGAGGTCGCGACACACATATTGATTTTCTACCTCTTTTAAAATGTAAAGCTGTTCATTGCGGCTGACTAAAAGGCTCCTTAGCTCTTTTAGCAGGACAATCATAAATTCTCATGGATAGTGATTTACAGATCCAGATCTCGAAGAAGAAGAAGTGGAATGGATTGTAGCTTAAACTGAAGCTACATCAACTATGGAGAATTGCGATGTGACTCAGTCATGATTGCTCTAAAAGCAATGAATTCTTAACTCCAGCTTGTTTTTCTGAGGGTGATGCGAGTCTTTGTACCGGAGTGCGTAATTCCTCCCATGGAGATAACTTTTGAATTAACTTAATTTAACAGTCTTGCGACTGCACATGTGCAAGCAGAGTGTACGTCATGTAAGCACAACTAAATATTTGTGATCAATCGTGAGCATTGGTCGACAGCGTCTCATCAAATCTTTTTTTGGCACTATTTCTGTTTTTGAGTGTCCATTGACCTGGTGCAAAACCTTCTTATAAAAATCCATGGACCTGGTCCATGAAAGTGGTCCATGGACCCCGTCCAAAGAGGGGGTCCATGGACCCCTGGTCCATGTTTTGTCCTCACCCCTTGATGACATCGTGGAAATTTGCGACTGCCGGGAATTTCTCGACCACTAATTTGTCTACTTTTATATTTTTTTTTTTTCTTTCGGAAACATGACTGTTGTCCCTTGTGATTATCAAACAGTTAAAAATTAAAATTTCTTTGAACGAGTCGGTAAAGGACCGGACAAGATGTCTGGCAATCCAAGGATTTGTCCGGTCAGTACCCAATTTTGACCAGACATTGTCCGTTGACCGGCCGTTATTTGCAGCCCTGAATAGTAGGTTCTTAAAAAAAATGCAATACAGGTAAGAGTATTTAGTGGCTCAGCTTATTATTAACTGGCTTGCCGAAAGGCGGGCCCAGTTCATAAAATGCCTTCAATTTTTTCTCTGGTGCATATTTCTAGCAGTTCCTTGTGGGGGTGTGCCGTCTACTCTTCAAATCGTGTCAGACCAATAACTATTAGGCAAATGTAAGGCATACCCGTCCAGGATTTTTTGTTCACAAAATGAACGCTATCAACAATAATTTGTCAGTTAATAATTGTCATTAACTGACAAATCCGAAGTGGGGGGGGTTTTCCTGGGACTTCATGGTTGGGGGGTTGTGTTGTCCTGCTCTCCAAATCCTGACCCTAGACCATATTTGAGATCAATACCTATGAGACAAATGTAAGGGAAAGCTCCCCCGGGAATTTTTGTTGTTGTTACTTATGGTGATAAACGCTATAAATTATTAACTATAATAATTTTTTTAAAGCACATTAAGCGAAAGCAGCGATTAAAATTACTGAAGATGTGTTTGAAGCTAGCGCACAATGCTTTTTCATCGTCTCCTTCAAAAGATGCTACGATGAGTGCCTTTTGTGGTTTTTTCTTTACTTTTTGTTGAAGTTTAAGCCTTTTGATGATTTTTTCCCTTCCAAAACGGGATTGCAAGTCTCTCTGAGTGTGTAGCTACTGTGTGTGTGTGAGTGTGTGTGTACATTCATTGAATAAAGACGTCTCTCAAGCTATCATTGGCACTTTTTTGCAGTGTGTTTTACAAAAGATGGTAAGATGGGTCGCTTTGAGGTTTGTCATCGCTTTTTGTTGAAGTTTAAACCGTTTAAAATGTGACAGCCAATGTCTCTTTTTATCTTATTGCAATTCTTGCTCTGCATGTGAAATGTCATTCCTTACAGGAAAGGGATGTCCTGGGAAATACGCTCATGGTAGATCACCACGTCAAAAAAAATTTATGTAGGGTATATGTACATATTCATTAGGACAGTTAGAAAGGCTTCAAATGGAATAACAGACAAAAATTAAACTTAAATTTAATTTGCTTTGTTAGTTTTAAGAACCAGAATTGAGAAATGTACTGCTTGTTAACAGCGTTTTATGAACTGTAGAACAACAATAATTTTTGGAATTTCTGGTTAGGTCAAATAAGTCACGTAATACCGTCACATTTTATTTTGGGGGGCAGAAGGATTGGAGGATAGGAGGGGTGCGTGAAAATAATGCTTACTGTTTCCTGCTTAGAATGGCTAACTTGCTTACTTTTATTCACAATGGTGGAATTTGAAAAGTTGCAGCCCCGATTTAAAAATAGCACTCATTTTTCTTGCTACGAAAGTCTTTCAAAAGGGTACAATGTTCAGATGAGTATGTTAAACTCTCACATGAGATGCTATGTCACACAATGTTCATGCAGTGACAATGTGGTGGCCTCAACAGTTTGTACAGACACCCTCTCCCAGCCAAAAAAAAAAATCTGGGCACATCAAATTAGAAGTTATGTAAAAATGACCATAAATTAAAAAGAGGAACTAAAGCATTTGACCTCATTGGCATATAAATTTCAGTTGGAGTGACAAGGCACCTAGCTCTCCAAAGAGAATTCTGAATGTTGACTTATCTGATATTTACCTAAGTGTGCAGACTTTTTTCCATCGATTTTAGAAAATAAGAACCTGTTTCAAATTTTAGGCTTAAAAGGTTCTTACATGTATATAGAGGAGGCCTTAACTGGCTCATTTTTGGCCTAACAGGCTCTTAAAATCCAGGTTCTGAGTCATGGGGTTTTACTGTATGCCAAAAGTTTCTGTGTGCTGCCTTAAGCGGGCCACAGTGTAATCAATGTGTGAGTATGAAAACATTAACCCCACTGGTATCAACATTTCTTTGCAGGTTAACATTTTAACTGTAATATTGAAATAGCCCACCTTCAAGAGGCTCTGATAGGATAAAATTCTGATAAGTGACCTCA